TGCAGGGAACAGCAGGGTTGGGGTTTTGGGACAGCTCCTGCAGGGAAAAACGGGATTGGGGTTTTGGGACTGCTCCTGCAGGGAATGACAGAGTCGGGATTTTGGGACAGCTCCTGCAGGGAACAGCAGGATTGGGGTTTTGGGATAGCTCCTGCAGGGAACAATGGGATTGGGGTTACAGCTCCTGCAGGGAACAATGGGATTGGGGTTTTGGGAGAGCTTCTGCAGGGAACAGTGGGATTGGGATTTTGGGAGAGCTCCTGCAGGGAACAGTGGGATTGGGGTTTTGGGAGAGCTCCTGCAAGGAACAACAGGATTGGGGTTTTGGGACAGCTCCTGCAGGGAACAGCGGGGTCGGGGTTTCACCACTGTCCCACCAGCAGTTTCAGTTTTCCATATGGAAAAACAGGGTTGGGATTTCACCACTGTCCCACCATTGGTTTCAGTTTTCCATGTGGAAAACCCTGTTTGTAATTTTCCCACTGTCCCACCATCAGTTTCAATTTCCAACAAGGAAAACCCAATTATATATATATATAAAATATATATTTATAATGTATTTTGATATATAAATATATTATAAATATAAGTGCAATATATTACATATAATGTAATATATAATATATATTAAGATATTTATTTTATAGCAATCATTATATTAATTAATAAATTAATTCTCCACACCACAAAGTCCCACTCAGGCAGAATTCCTGGGAATCTCCATAAAAAATACATGTTTTTAAGAGCTGAGGGGGAGATTTGAATCACTCACAGCTTCGTGCAGACACCGGAGGAACTCCAGCTCCTGCTTCAGGATTTCCACCCTCACATCCAGCTCCATTTTCCCCATGTAGGCACTGTCCAGTTCCTGGGAAAAAAACCAAAATCCATCATCACATTTACATTCCTTTGCTCCACATCCTCCACTGGAGTTCAGTTCTCGGAGTATTCCCAAAAAACCTTCAGCTCTGGGATCAAATATCGGCCCCCCAAGCTTGGATTTCATCGGAAAAGTGACGGGAACAGAGGGAAGGGGTGGAAAAAATGGGCTGGGAAATGAGCACCAAAACCTGGGGCAAAAAATGCCTTCCTGGGGAACAGGAAAAAGGTGAAAACACAGGTTTTGTTCTTTCTTTGGATAAAAAGTTGCCGAAATTCTCTATTTTCCCACGGATTTTGTTCTCCTGAGCCACCTCTAGGCAGGATTTAACCTAAAAATGACCTTCTGCTTGAGCTGGGGGGGTGAGAAGAGGGGAAAAATCAGCATTTTGGGGTTATTTCACAGAATACCCCAATATCTCGAGCTGGAATATTTGCTTTACAAAGGACCAATTCCAGAGGGAATTCTCCCTCTTCGGTCCCTTCTCTCAGTTCCTCCAGCTGGAATTAAATCCCAGCAAAACCCTCAGCTTTGGAGGACCCTGGGGGTTGTTTTATTTCTCCTTGGTAATTAAAGACTTTCCTCAATACAGAACTCCAAAAATCCATTAGAGCAGGTGAATTAACTCCAATTAAATCCCAGTGCAGATCCCATTTTCAGGGTCTCCAGTTACTCCACCTTTTTCAGCTCCACAAATTCCTCCTCCCGGGCCGTGCGGTTGTTGATCTCGTCCTCGAACCTGTGGGCAGGAAGGAGGTGGATCATTATCTATTATTAATTAATCTACACAATTAATCTATTATTATCAATTAACCTATTTCATTCATCTATTATCCATTAACCTATTTAACTCACTGTTACCTATTTTAACTTTTCGGTCAGGCAGATCAGAAAACAAAAGGGAATCACCCCAAAAAAGTTAATTTAAATCAAGGTTTCAGTTGAATTCCAATTTCTGGCAACTACAGAATGAAGCACTGAAACAACCCACAAAAAAAATGGGATAGACACAGGTTGGTCCTAAATTTAGGAATTGATAGACACAGATTGGTCCTAAACTTAGGAATTGATAGACACATATGGGTCCTAAATTTAGGAATTGATACACACGGATTGGTGCTAAATTTAGGAACTCTGGACTAAACTTCTGGACTAAACTGAAAAATTCAGAGCTGGGGATGGACATAAACTGTCTCTGGGTGCAGCTGAGCCAGAGGTGATGACTCTGCCCAACTTGACCCCCCTGTCCCTCCCACCCACAGCGGGTGCTGGGTTGATCAGGGGAGGAAGAGGAGGAGGATGGGAGGGGAGAAGGGTGGGATAAATCAACAAAAACTTCAATTTTCCTCTTATTTGAGGGGTTCAACCCTCCCCAAACTCCTCCATCCTCAAGGCCAACCCCCCCAGAGCACCCACTCCAGGCTAAGGGTGCAAAGCCGAGCTGGGAAAACCCCAGTGCCCCTTTTTCCCCCCGAATTTGGGGCTCCTTCACCTGTTTTTATACTCTTCCACCAGCTGCAGCATGTTGTAGGCCTCGGGGTCCAGCTGCTCCTTCTGGCTCTGGAGCGTCTGGAGCTGCCGCTGGAGGCTGGAGATGTAGGACTGGAAGAAGGAGGAGATGTTCCTGCTCTCCTCGGGGCCGGAGCTCTGCTGCTGCAGGAGCTGCCACTTGGCCAACAGGGCCTGGTTCTGCCGCTCCAGACACTGCACCTGGAGGGGAAAAGCAGATCCAGAGGGAAGGGATTGGAATCTCCGCCGTGGAAACAGGATGGGAGAGCTGGGAATGTTCACCCGGAGGCTCCAGGGAGAGCTTGGAGCCCCTTCCAGGGCTCCAGGAGATCTGGAGAGGGACTAGGGACGAGGGATGGAGGGACAGCACACAGGGAATGGCTTCCCACTGGGAAAGGGGGGATTTAGGTGGGATTTTGGGAAGGAATTCCTGTCTGGGAGGGTGGGGAGGCCCTGGGATGGATTTCCCAGAGAAGCTCTGGCTGCCCCTGGATCCTTGGAAGTGTCCAAGGCCAGGCTGGATCCCCTTGGGATAGCAGGAGGTGTCCCTGCCCATGGCAGGGGGTGGGATGAGCTTTAAGGTCCCTCCCAGCCCAAACCATTCCACAGTTTCATATTTTCCCCTCAACTATTCCAAGATTGAGCAGTTTTTCCTGTATTCCTGCCTGTTTATTTTCACGGAATCACTGAACATTTTGGGTTGGAAGTGACCTTTTAAAGGTCATTTTCCTTCCCTGGGGGCACCACGAACTGGAGAGGGACCTGGGACAAAGCCAGGCCAAGGGATGAGGGGCTTCCAATTGAAGAGGGGAAGGTTAGATGGGATATTGGGAAGGAATTCCTCCCTGGGAGGGTGGGGAGGCCCTGGGATGGATTTCCCAGAGGATGCCCCATCCCTGGAAGTGTCCAAGGCTGGGTTGGAGCATCCTGGGATGGTGGGAGGTGCCCCTGCCCATGGCAAGGGGTGGGATGGGATGACTTTAAGGTCCCTTCCAACCCAAACCATTCCCTGATTCCTTGACACCGAACCCGGAAATTAAGACCCAAAATTTGGGGTGGAAAAAGGGAGTCTCAGACCCTCCAATTTTTGGGGGCTGTGGATGTTTTGACCTCGTGGGTGTAACCAACCCCTTCTGTGTGGGGTCATTCAGGGAGCCCTGAGGTCTCCCCCTGTCCCAGCCCCCACAACTCCCACCCCAGCAGGGCCCGGGGTCACTCCAGAGGTGACTCCATGGGGGAATTTTGGGGCTGTTCCGCTCCTCCTGACCCCGAGGAGGACTAGGAGAGAAGCCAAGGCTGCAGAGGGAGGGAGAGCTGAGCACGAGGTGCAGAAGGAAAGTGTGGAGGCCTCTGATGGCCCGGGAGAGGCAGGACCCCCAAAGCAAAGGATTCAGAGAAGTTTTGCTTTGCTTGAGGTAAAAAAAACAGATCCAAAGGAAAAACAGGGATATCCAAATCCACCACTCATTTTTCCACCATTTTGCCACCCATAATCCCCAGGCACCGGGATAAAGGGATGGACATTCCCAGAAACCCTTTCCCTGGAAAGAGGAGCGAGTTAATGAGCCGGTGACATCCTGGTGGTTTTATTGTCCTGACACCCGGAGACACTCAGCCCAGGGCTACCAGTGATTCCCACAGCCACCTGTTGGGAGCATCCCAGCAGGAATTCACAGGGAATTCGGCCAAATCCTGGGATTTTGGGGGGAGAAGGTGCAACCCGAAGGTGTTGCCGTGACTCACACCTGCCTCAGCGAAGCAGAGCCCGGGACCCACCTTGTCGATGAAGGAGGCGAATTTGTTGTTGAGGGCCTTGATCTGCTCCTTCTCGTCCGAACGCACCCTCTGGAACTCGGGGTCCACCTGCAGCTCCAGGGGCCTCAGCAGGGTGGGGTTGACGTGGACCTCCTCGATGCCTCGGAGCATCCCGGCCTGTCCCACCCCCTGTCCCTCTGCCCCGAGCCCCTCCCTGCCCGGGCTGGCCCTGGAGGTGCTTCCCAGCCCCGTTTCACCCCTTGGAAAAGCTCCCATGAAGTACCCCCTGCCATAAAACGCCCTCTCGGGTTGTCTCCAGCCTCCAAACCTCCCGTATCCCGCTCCTTCTCCGTATCCTCCGGCGGCAGAGACATTCCTGAAGCCCCCGAGGTTGTGGAGGCTCCTGCTGCCGTATCCCGGCCCAAACCCCAGGAATCTCCCGTCCCCACCACCCAACGTCCCGCAGTGGGCGGAGGAGGAGCTGAAATTCCCATCTCCGTATCTGGAGAAATATCTTCTCATGGTGTCCGGGCGGGAGAGCAGGAGATGAACCGGGTGGAGGGAAGGAGAGCCAGAGGATCCTCAGCTCCGGGAGGGGTGCGGGAAGTTCTCCGGGGAAGTTCTCCTTTATAGGTTGCCGAGGAGCTCGTCTCCATTCCCGGTTAATTAGCAGGTCCCTGCAGTTGTTGATGGGTTTGGTTCATTAGGCAGCAATTAGTGGTGCCCGGAGAGAGGCCGGATAAACACCCGGCACCGGCGGCTGGTTGTGAAACCCCGCAAATCCCAAATCCCTCCTGACTCACCGCCCTTATCTCCCCGGCCTCCCCGCAGCCCTAATTACAGTTATCCCGCTCATCCCGAGGATTGGTCGCTCCCAGATTTCCCCACCTCTTCGGGAATCTCATTTCACGGGGCACGAGGCCTCGGCGGGGTCCGGGGAGGGGTCCTGACCTCCCTTCCCCCCATCCCGGGATCACCTGCCCCACCTCCCTTGGCTTCCTCCCATTCCCAGGATATCCCCCTTTGGCTTCCCATTCCCTCTTTCCTCCCATTCCCAGGATATCCTCCTTTGGCTTCTCATTCCCTCTTTCCTCCCATTCCCAGGATATCCTCCCTTGGCTTCCCATTCCATCTTTTCTCCCATTTCCGGAATATCCTCCCTTTGGCTTCCCAGTCCCTCTTTCCTCTCATTCCCAGAATAACCTCCCTTGGTTTCTTCTCAGTCCCTCTTTTCTCCCATTCCCAGAATATCCTCCCTTGGCTTCCCATTCCATCTTTTCTTTCATTCCCAATTCCCTCTTTCCTCTCATTCCCAGAATATCCTCCCTTGGCTTCCCATTCCCTCTTTCATCCCCCTTTGGCTTCCCAGTCCCTCTTTCCTCTCATTCCCAATTCCCTCTTTCCTCTCATTCCCAAAATATCCTCCCTTGGCTTCCCATTCCATCTTTCCTCTCATTTCCAGAATATCCTCCCTTGGCTTCCCACTCCCTCTTTTCTTCCATTCCCAATTCCCTCTTTCCTCTCATTTCCACAATATCCTCCCTTGGCTTCCCATTCCCTCTTTTCCCTCATTCCCACAACATCCCATGGTAACTGTTCCTTCTGCAGGGACAGGGAAAGTCTGATCTGGTTTCCCTGCTCGTGACATAATAAAAAATACTTTATAAAACTGAAACAGTGTCTAGAAAAGGCAAAAAAAAGACGGAATTCCCTATAAGTTTTAGCTTTAAAAATGGATTTGAATAAATCCACTTTATGGCGGCAGAGTTTTAAATGGAAGATAAAAAGCTTGGAGAGAAATTTTAATCAATTAAACTAATATTTTTAATAGATTTAATTTTAAAAAATTCAACTGATCTCTTTAATTAATTTTAAAATTAAAAAATTAAATTAATCCTTTTAAATAAACCTCCTGCTGTTGTTGCTCCTGCTTTTCCGTGCGGGAATAAACCCATGGACAAAAATTCCCTGTGTGTGGGGTGGCCCCGTTTGGAAAGGGGCTCCTAAATCCCCAAAATTAGAGGCTTGGAGGGACAGGGAATTAAACAGCTGGAATATCCTGAGGTAGACAAGGCTTTGGATGCTCAGAGAGCAGATAAGGGGCTTTTCCCACGAGGACACCGAGTGTTTTCCAGCAGAAACAGTGGAAAAATCCACTTTTCCCTGCCAAAATTGGTCTCCTCCCACCTCACACCGGGAACAGCCTTTCAGACCTTCCATTTGTGCTGATTTGGGAATTAAACTTTACTAATTATCTACATTTAGCCGAGAAATTCAAACAGATTTCCCACGGAATTCCCACTTTTTATAACCCGGTCTCAAAATCTGGCTTGGATTGGGAATTCCGTGTCCTGCAGGGATTAATAAAAATGGGGAACAAACAAAAAGGTGCAATGACCAGGATTTGAAGAGTGGAGGGGGGAAGAATCTGGAAAGAGACTGGAAAGAGGTCGGAGCCAGGTGGGATTTGGGATTTTCTCCCAGGGAAGTGACGGGATGAGAGGAAACCACATCAGGCTGCACCAGGGGAGGTTTAGTTGGATCCTGGGGAAAATTCCTCAGGGAAAGGGTTGTCCAGCCCTGGCACAGGGGTGGAGTCCCCATCCCTGGAAGTGTCCAGAAATCCTGGGGATGTGGCCCTTGGGACCGTGGTCAGTGTGGCCTTGGGGGAAGGTTGGACTCGACGATCCCAAGGGATTCTCCAACCTTAAGGATTCCATGATTCCAAAGGGTTGGCTTTGGTGGCTCCGGGCGCAATTCCCCTCCATCCCCCCTCTTCCCACTTTGTGAGTGGCTCATCCCAAGGCCCAAGGAACCGGGAAATGCTCCAGATCCTCCGCAGGGATCCTGTGGGAAGTGTTCTGACCCGGGGCAGGGAACATCCACACCCCAAACCAGCCAGATCCGGGTGGGACAGCAGTGGGAGAGGGGCCCATCCCCAAAATCCCTGCCCTGGGCACTGGCTGAAGCAAAAGAAGTGGGAATTCAGAGATTCCCAGGGCATCCTGAGGCCTGAGAGATTCCCAACCCCAAACCGGAGGGAGCAGCCGCGGCCCCACGTGCCGCGGGATCGGGAGCGCGGGGTGGGAATTGTTGTGATGGGAGCTGGAGCCGGCCCAGCCCTGGCACAGCACCCCAAAAACCACACCCGGACCTGCTGAACTGGCCCCGGGAACAGGGATGGATCTGGGAGGCATCTCCGCATCCCGAGGATGGAGGGGGAGCTTCCTCTTCCTGCCCTTTGGGATCACGGGTTCATCCCTCCCCCTTCCCGGGGAACAGGGTTTTCCTGGGATCGGGGCCCTGAGGTCGCAGGGGGTTTGTCCCTGTGGGTTTGAAGGATGAATTGCAATCCCAAGGATTTGTCCCCCTTGGAGCAGGGGCAGAAACTCCACGTGTTGTTCCAGCCCATGGGACACATTGGGAAGTTCATCCCCCTGGAGAAGCCTCTGGGACAGGAGTGTCCCCTCTGGGTGGCCTGTGGACCATGAGGGAACCTGGAGAGCTCCTCAGCTCCTTCCAGAGCTGCTCCATCCTCCCTCAGGCCACCGGGATCAACGTGTTGGAACCACCCAGAAATTCCCAAAGGGACCCAAACTCCTGGAGCAGGAGGGATGCAGGAACCGGCCGAGCTCCAGGACCCACACCCCCCTCTGGTCACCTCCGGCCAACCCAACCCACAGGTGGGAATCCTGAACTCCAGGGCTCAGGCTGATGCTCCAGGAAACCCCTCAACATTCCCATGGGATTGCCTGGATCAGCTCCAAACGGGATCATGGAATGGGTTGGGTTGGATGAGACCCTAAAGATCAGCTGGTTCCACCCCCTGCCACCATCCCAGGGGGATCCAACCTGGCCCTGGACACTTCCAGGTTTGGGGCATCCTTTGGGAAATCCATTCCAGGGCCTCCCCACCCTCCCAGCCAGGAATTCCTTCCCAATATCCCACCTAAATCCCCCCTTTCCCAGTGGGAAGCCATTCCCTGTGTCTGTCCCTCCAGCCCTTGTCCCCAGTCCCTCTCCAGCTCTCCTGGAGCCCCTTCAGGCCCTGGAAGGGGTTCCAAGCTCTCCCTGGATCCTTCCCTTCTCCAGGTGGACATTCCCAGCTCTCCCAGTCTGGCTCCACAATCAAGGAATCCTGGAATGGGTTGGGTTGGAGGGACCTTAAAGCCCATCCAATCCCAGCCTGGACACCTCCTTCTATCCCAGGGGGATCCAGCCTGGCCTTGGACACTTCCAGGGATCCAGAGGCAGCCACAACTATGGAAAAACTCCAGAAAACAGAAATAAAAACAACTGAAAAAATTGGGGGGAAAAAAAAGAACTATAGAAACCACAAAGCCTAAAACGACTTAAAACTTGTGGATATCTGGGAAAAATAAACCTCAAATCACCGCAAAATACAAAGGCAGGAACTTTAAAAGCCCCGTTGGCAGAGCAGAGAGCGGATAAATGAGGATGTTAATGGGTTTATAACCACGAAATGGGTGTTACAGGGCAGCCCAGGGCCAGGGCAGCACAGTGGCAACTTCATAAATACAGTATTTAAATTTAATAGCTGCCCCGATGGAGCTGATAAACACACCTGGAGGGAGATGTGGATCTGCAGCTGCCCGAATTCCTGCATAATGAGGGCCCTGAGTCGCCTGGAAGCGGGGTTGGGATGACAGAGCCACTCGTAAAAATACCTTTAGAACCCACAGACTTTCCTTTTCTCCCACCTGGGATCGGCCCCGGCCCCTCCCTGGGTCAGCAAAGGCCGGGAGAGGAGGGAAAGAAAGGAAGGGAAGTGTCCAAAAAATGGTGGTTTTTTCAGGAAAAAGAGGTGAAATGTTGGCATTCAACCAGAAGTTTGGACTGTTTCAATCCTGGAATGTTTTGTCCCGGTTACACAGATATTCCCAGGTGGATTCCAGGGTTTAGGGGATGGGGGGATCACACGGAGATTCCCTCACCTGGATCAGAGCTGGGTGAGACTGGGAACTGCTGTGGAACCCCGGGAAAAATCCCTCTCTCGGGGAATCCTCAGAACTCCAAGAGCTGCCGACACCTGGTGATAAAAAGGGAAGTTTCCTGCGAGGAAACTGTAACTTGAGGGGATCCCAGGAATTCCAGGGAGGCATTTCCGTAAAAAGCTGCTGTTCCACAAGAGGCAAAAGAAGATTTTCCTCCCCGAAATCATTCCTAACCACCCGAGCTCCCAATCCCATCAGGCTGCACAGGACGAATCCCAAATCCCTCCCACCTGGAGCCTTCCCAGATCCCTCAAATTGCGTTTTCCTCACCAGGAAACTTCACTTTTTACTCCCAAGTGTTGGCAAGTCTTGGAATTCTGAGGATTTCCCGAGAGAGGGATTTTTCCTGGTGCTTTAACAGCAGTTCCCAGTCTCACCCAGCTCTGATCCGGGTGAGGGAATCTCTGTGTGATCCTCCTGTCCCCTAAATCCCGGATGTGGGATCCACCTGGGAACGTCTGTGTAACCGGGACAAAACATTCCAGGATTAAAACAGCCCAAACTTTTGGTCAAACACCAACATTTCACTTCTTTTTTTTTTTCCCCTGCCAAAAACCCCCCAAAACACGAGTCCAATTTTGCA